TCTATCTATCTATCTATCTATCTATCTATCTATCTATCTATCTATCTATCTATACACATATACATAGATGGATAGCTAGATTCTACACATATACATATAGGTATATAGATAGGAAGGCGGTATATCAAAATACCAGAAAACAGATCAGTTCAACTGCTCTCACTAGTTTAAATAAGGGGGAAATGATCGGATATTACCCCCCCTCCCCCGCTAACTGCGCTGCTGTATTTCCAGACGTGGACTTCGTCACCCCCCTGTGCTCACAGGTGGTCTACGAGGGCCTGGTGGACGACATCTTCCGGATCAAATGCGGTGGGTGTTGGCCAGATGAGGATGTAGTAAAAGCTTTGAGATGCGATTGGAAAAGATGGGACACAAAGATGCTCCCCTCAGATCCTCTTTGCCATCTGACATCCCAAATACCGACTCTCTACCTCTTCTCTAAACAAAACTCAAAACCCTCCCGTTTAAAATTTCTTACCCACTTCACCCTAACTCTAACATTCCCCTCATTCTGCACAGTTTTATTAATTTAATTTTAATTTAATTAATTTATGATGTTTTTATTTATGATGCATTTATGACTTTGTATGTTTTCTTATGTTTAAATTTTGTTTTAATGATGATCGTCTTTGTAAAGTGTCCTTGAGAAGGCGCTTTTTATAAATAACATTTATTAATATTATTATTATTATGAGCTGGACTGAGACAAAAAACAGGTCTTCAGGCTCTTTTTTTTCATCCAGGTGACATCAAATTCACCGTAATGATGTTTCTGTTGTTATTTTATTGTTTCAGTTTGATTTTCTTCTCAGTTTTCGGCACGTTTTTCAGTACCTGCCGTTTCTAAAATGCTTCATACACAAAATCTGAACAAGATTTAAACGCCAACTGGTGCTAAACCCACAGCCCAGTCCCTGAGATGGGACAGTCACCACTAAATGATAGTTTTAAAATCCACCGGAGACCAAAACACAGCCTGTTAAATGGGACTGGACTCTTTGCTTTCTTTTTTCTTTTTCTTTTCTTGAATCTTTTCTTTTTCTTTAGCTGAAATCCTACTCAGTCGTTCAGTTTTGATTTGTTTTAGCTGGTTTCCAGCCTCAAATGGCTGCAAACTGTCCGACAGCATCGGCATACGGACAGAATTTGAGCTTAAGGGGTGGAAGATAGCAAAGACTGCTGGTTTTTGATGCCTCAAACAAAAAAAAATCAGCTTTTGGGTTTTATTTGAGGGCCCTAACGAGGCGATGTGAGCTGTGTCCCCTCCCTCTGTCCTGCAGGATGTGTGGAGTTCGGACCCGAGGTCACCTCCTCCGACAAGAGCCTCAAAGTGATGCTGAACTCCCAGGATAAGGTAGGCCCCGCCCCTCACGGCCTCCAGCCGGCCGGCTGAGCCCCCCCCTGGCCTCACTGGGTTTTTGTGGGGGCCCCCCAGGTCTTCGGCGAGATCCGGAACGAGCATTTCTCCAACGTCTTTGGGTTCCTCAGCCAGAAAGCCCGAAACCTCCAGACGGCGTACGATGTGAGTAAAGCCCCCCCGACCCCCCCTCTGTTTGGTGGCCTGTAGCCCAGGGTTACAGCGCTCTGCCCCCCCCCCCCTGCAGAAGCGGAGGGGGATGGACATACAGCAGATGAAGGCGTTCGTGTCGGAGGAGCTGAAGGGCCTGAAGCAGGAGCACCGGCTGCTCAGCCTCCGTGAGTCCCGCCGCCGTCGCCATGGCGACCGTACGCCGCCGCCGTCGCCATGGCGCCCTCCAGGTCTCCAAACCTGCTCCCTGTCTTTCAGACATCGGCGCCAGCGAGTCCATGATGAAGAAGAAGACCAAGCAGGACTTCCAGGAGCTGCTGAAGACGGAGCACTGTGAGAAGGAGCTTCTTCTTCTTCTTCTTCTTCTTTCTTTTTTGTTCGAACTGAAGATCTCGACTTAGTTTCTTCTGTTTCCTCAGCTTTACTTGAAGGATTCGAAATCCGCGAGTGCATTTCTTTCATAGAGGAGCACATCAACAGACAGGTGGGTTTTTCAGAGTCCCAAAGCAGCAACTAGTGAGGAAAAGCAGCTGAATTTTGTTTTGCTTTTGCTTCTTCTCTCTGTAGGTCTCCATGATAGAAAGCCTGAGGCTGCTTTGTCTCCTGTCCATTACTGAAAACGGTATTTTTTCTTTTTTTTTTCGTCTATCAGCAAAAGTAACAAAAAATATTTGTGCCTTCACAAATCTGTGATTTCATGTTCTCACAGGACTTTTGCCAAAAGATTACCGGTCCTTAAAAGCACAGTTTCTGCAGGTGAGCTCCGAAAAATCAGTAGTTTTTGTGGTGAGCGATCCAGAAATGAGTGAAAAAAAGTTCATTTTAAGAGTTCAGAGTTCATATTTCTTCATTGGAAAAGATAAATAGCATGTTTCCTATTGCCTGACTTATCTTAAAGCGTAAACACAAACTTTTTTTCTTCCTTAATCTGCTGAATACTTCAGCAAGTAACAGGTTTCTTTTAAACTCTGGCTGGAACACGGCGGCCATCTTGAAAGTGGCCATATTGGCAAATTTTTCCAACGGGAAAGCAGTCATGTAGCATATCAAAGGAGACCAGAATTGACTCAGAAATTGATTACTGCAGTCAGATTTGGGATATCTCTTGTGGTCGACACAGAAAGCTGGGAAATTTGGCCAAAGTCTCGAATCCACCGGTGTATTGGGATATGTCTTTTTCCCTTTTGTTCTGAAATAAAAAGGTGTCCTGTGACTTTAAATTTAACATACACAGGATAGTACAACAGAAAGTGTCTTCAGGATCTCTGATTAAAGCGGAAAACTCTGTCCTGGCCTGGTTTGGTCTCCTGTTTCCTGGTGTAACCGGCATCCTCCTCCCTGCCCGCCCTCCTCAGAGCTATGGGATGGACCACCTCCTCACGTTTGCCAACCTGAAGCAGCTGGGGCTGCTGGTGGAGCAGCAGCCCGGGGACACCCTCACGGCCATGGAGAGCAAAGTGGGCAAACTGGTGAACGACAGAGCTGCAGGTGAGCCGCCGGACAGACGTCCGTCTGGAAAGACCGATTCGATTCCTGACCTTTGACCTCCGTGTGGTTTTGCAGGAAAACTGACTGATGCTTTTTCCTCTCTGGCAAAGAAGAGCAACTTCAGAGCTCTGAGCCGAAAGCTTAATCTGGTAAATGCTGCTTGCTGGAGCTTTTTGAATGAAACAATCGTGGTGAAAATTTCGTTTATTTGTCCGTACCGCCTTAAAAAGAAGCCTGTTATTAAGTTTAAGGTTGTGTTTGAAGGTGCCAAAGTCTGATGAGGAGTACGACCTGCGCGTCCCCAGGGACATGGCCTACATCTTCAGTGGTGCTTACATCCCTCTGAGCTGCAAACTCATAGAGCAGGCGAGTCCATCGGCTCCTCTCTGCCTCCGGAGGCAGCCACCAAACTCCAGCTTAACGCTGGCTTTTTTTTGTAGGTGCTGGAGCGGGGGGGCTGGACGGGGCTGGAGGAAGTCACCAGACTCCTAAACGGACACGAATTTGCCGTCACAGGTTTGAACGAGAGAAGATTCTATCGGCCCCTCAGAGAAATGAGGAAATCAATTTAGTTTTCTTACCAAAGAACACAGTTCGATTTAGCATATTTTCCCAAAACGGAGATAAATAGAATACAGTAGAACCTGCTTCTGATGCCTAAACATACAAATTTTCCAACATAGGAAGTGAAATTTGATCAAATATTCAACACCCGAAGTCAATTTCCAACATATGACGTCAAAGTCCTAGAAAAAAATAAAAAAAATAATAAAAATTAAATAAAAATAACTAAGCAAAATTTTTGTACAGTTCCAGTAGTGAAAGTTATATTTTTAAAAAATCTGAAAAATAGAAAGAAATACATAAAAGTTCAATCAAAATAACTAGTGTAAGTTGGTGTAAAGTTCCTGTCTAAAGTCAGAGTGAGTTACGGTGGTTCCTGTATCTCAGTCTCCACCTCTACCTCCGTTCATCAGTCTCTGAGCTAAAGGGACAATAAAAACCCTTTTTAGTGATTATTTCTTTATCATTTATTTATTTTTCCATCTCTCTTCTAGAAGTCATTTGTTTTCTTGCTATGTGTAATTATCTGCAGTATTTATTAAGGAGTTATCGTAGGTTTTTGGAACCAATTCTAGGAATTACAGAGTATTCTGATAGAAGATTTGAACCAATATACCAATATTTAACACAGACGTTGGTCCAGGAACCAGTTAGACTCTGTGGAGGCTCTGCTGTAGTCTGAGGCGTGAGCCCCCGTCTGGGTGTTGTGAGTCACTGAGGGCAGATGTGTCCACATCAGGCAGCAGCGGAGCGGAGACGAGGAACGACTCCCAGAGGATCATTCTGGTCATGTTCCTGGGCGGGTGCACCTTCTCTGAGATTTCAGCCCTTCGCTTCCTCGGCAGAGAAAAAGGTGACATGTCTGAACCATCAATTCTGTGATGTGCTGTGTCTGATGTTGTTGCATGTTCTGGGCCCTCTCTGATTTTTCAGTTTTCAGAACAGTTTGATGTTTTTTCTCATGCGTAAATATATTTTCATGGAGCCGTTTGACCAGCAGGTTGCATTAGATACTGTAGGACAAATGCTGAAAAGTATGCAGGTGCAAGCAGGCCATGGAAACGGTTGTTTCCTGTTTAATGCGTGGCTCTAATGTCACCAATACAGTACACACCAAAAGTTTGGACACACCTTCTCATTCAAATAGTTTTATTTATTTTCATGACTATGAAAATTGTGGATTCACAATGAAGGCATCAAAACTATGAATTAACACATGTTGAATTATATACTTAACAAAAAAGTGTGAAACAACTGAAAATATGTGTTTATTCTAGTTTCTTCAAAGTAGCCACCTTTTGCTCTGATCTGGTCTGTACTGATATATATATATATATATGTACCATTTAAACTATTTACTGAAATAGTTTTAATGGCATTTTATAATGTATACCATAACACTGTCTTTACTTTTTTGTTACCACTATCAAGTTGTTCTTAATATAATATTCCTATATAATGACCTTTTAATAGAAGTAGTAATATACTGTATGTAAGGCTGTAAATTTACATTGCTCTTTTGCCTTTTTTAAGTGCATTATTCTGCTGAATTAATTTGTGTGCTGGCTCTTTCCAGGTTATAAGTTTATTGTGGTAACGACGGCCATCACTAACAGCTCCAGACTTCTGGAGGCTCTGCTGGGGAACCAGCTGTGAAGCTGCTGTTTTTGGGACTCTGGATGGAGAAAAGACGCATTCCTGCTGCCATTTGCATTCCTCTCAGCACAGACGGAACTGTTTACCTCGGTCTGTATAAATGTACAAAGCGAATAAATAATGCTTTTTTTTAAACGTGTAGTTTGTCATTCTTTCCATGCAGTAAATCGGACTACTTAAATGAGCTCACCGGTCAAAAATGGACAACGGTCATTTCATTAAGTGTCGGAACGCTGTATCACTCCGCACCCTCCTTGAAGCAGGTGTGCTTGTTTTATGTTACGGCCGGGACGGAGTGACTAGTCGTTGGGCGGATAACAGGTGCTGCGTTGATATAGCAACAGCGGGCTCTATTGGTATAATGCATCACGCGACCCCGCATGGCGAGCCAATCACAGAGCAGGACGCTGTCGCACGCGTATTTTGAACTGTGTAGAAACGGACTAAGCTGAGGGCAGGCGGAGAGGAGACTGTCTGCTGGCTGTCTTTTGAAAGGGTTTCGGTTATTTAAAATTTGCCGCTGCTCTGGGAATTAACCATGAGAAAGAGGTAAGATTCAAGCTGTTTTTCCCCACTTCACACCAAAACCGCAAGTAGAGAAACGTAAATAAAGAGGCTAGTTTTGTACCGCTGAGTGTTAGCTAAACTGAAATAAACGGCTCTCCGTTTAAACTCTGCAACTGTTCGCGTTCTTTTGCTGTTAATACTACAAGTGGCGGGATATTTCTTGACCAACTAGGCGAATGTGTCGGTCATTTTTAGCGAGGTGCTCGCAGCAGAGTCGGTGTCGTGCCTGAATAAAGCGCTGTGCCAGCTCAAGGACATCTGGGAGGAGATTGGCATCCCGGAGGACCAGAGACTGCAGAGAACCAATGTGGTCAAGAACCACATCAAGGTGAGGCCAGACCCCCCCAGAAAGAGGCATCCGGCCGGTTTCTGATGAGCTGATGGCTTGTAAGAAATGTGAAACATGTCTGGGTGTGTTTGTACTGGTGTCAGGGAGCGAGAAGAGCAGGTGGGGGGGGGGGTGGGGGTGGGAGAGAGAGAGAGAATTGCTCATGGAGGAATCTAATCCACATGATCTCTGAGGCCTTGAGTACATGCTAATAATTAGAATACAACAGGAGAATAGACGTAAATGGTCACTTTCAGCCCTTTACAAGCACTGTAGCTCCCTGCTAGATCCATTTTTGTACCAGATACCTACAGAGGATGACAATTTTAACCACAACAGTTAAACTGATCTAATCTGGACATAGTTATTCAAAATGGACTGTAAGTTCCATAATACCTTGTTTGGGACTTGTGAAAGGGTTTTATTATTTGTAAAGGGAAAAAAAAGGAAGATAAAAGCCACCGTGCAACTTTTTTGCATCACTGTCCTGTACAGAAACAGCTCTAGTTAGCCTCCTTAGAAAAACTTAATTTTGTCTATAAAAATGCGAAAAGCTAATCCATGTCAAGGGTGAGTGGCAAAGAAACAATGAAATACTCCCTTTTGCATTTTCAAAAATCAGAAAAAAACTTTCACAAATCCTAAACATGTTATTAATTAAAAATTTGCTTCTTTAGAATAATTACTCTAATATTTGATTAATCTAACTACTATAGTTTTCATACAGGACCTAAACATGTGGGTTAAATATAAAATACAGGCTGAAAGTCTTATATGTGATCGTACTTTGGATCTTTAAATTTTCTTTTTGCCTGCTTTCAGTTGGAAGAGCCATCCGCATTTAGCTAAAAACTGTTATTTAATCAATCCTGTGACATAAATTGAATCTACTAAGCAAAGCCTTTTTGGCCAATTCCAACATGTGTTTGATTTAAACACATGTTGATTGATTTAATTTATCACATTGTTATACAGTATTTCAACTTGTTTTTCTGGTAGATTAGTTCACATATTTTCTGCTCTGCTCATTAGCAACATGCTTTCCTGGAATAAATGGATTACACAACTTGTTTGGAAACTGAATGAATTATCTAAAAGGATCTCCAACAAAGAAAATCTCTAATTTATCATGCATGACCTTTATTTATTTTTGAAATCCTTTATCCAACAGAACCTGCTCGACATGATGATTAAAGAGGAAGAGTCTCTGAAAAAGAGACTAATAAGCAGCATTCAGATATGCAGGACAGAGATGGAGAAACTCTGCTTGGAGCTCCACTTTCCTATTTTTGAGGTGAATGCTTCACTTTCATTGTTAATAACTGACTCTCGGGACTCCTCCGGTTTTTACAGCAGATCATTTAACTATTCTTCCACAGTTTTCTTTCCTTTCTAGTAATTTTTTAAATCTAGTATTAAATGTTTTTTTTTGGCTTCACGTGTCTTTAGTACTGGGTTTGTCAGATGCCTCGTGGACACTTTTACCAGCTTTCAGTGGAGTTTGGGGGCTTGAATAACAGCAGTGGGACTGTGGTGCTTTTCCTCAGGAGGAGGAGGGCGTCAGCATGCTCCAGCAAGAGAAGAACATCCGCACGCAGGTGGAGGCCCTGATGAAGGAGAAGGCCCAGCGGATGCAGCAGCTGAAGGCTCTGCTGGAGCAGGACCAGGACCTGTGCGACATCCTGTGCTCCATGCCCTACGGCATCGCCCCGGACTCGGTGCCCTCCCCGGAGCAGCTGGAGGACTTCCAGCAGCACATCGCCAACCAGAACGCAGAGAAGGTCGGGGCCCCTCCTGTGCTTTGGGATCTGAAAAACTGGATTTTTCACACCCACACACGCTGACAAATGGGATGGTTTCTTCCTCCTAATGGCAGTTTTTTCCTCCCCTGTGTCTCCTAGTGCTGCTCTTGGTGGGAAGTGTTGTTCTGTAAATAATTCAGAGTCTGTCTGAGCTGCTCTGTTTGGAAAGCTGGGAGATTCCTGTTGTTGGGATTTGGCGCTAGATATATAAAATTTAATTGAATTGAACAAATGGGCTGGGGAAAAAATAAGGAGAAAATTCAAGAATGAGTTATTTTCTGAGTTTTGAAAATGCTGGGCAGTCCTCTGGGCTGGCTACGTTCCTTTGGAGGCTGAATCCAGAGGACCACAGCCCGTCTGGTCATCCTCGGCCTCCTTCTTACCGCCCACCTGCGCTCTGTTCCCTCTGCAGGCCAAGCGCCACGCCGAGTTCACGGAGCTGAAGAAGCAGATCGTTTTGGTGATGGAGGAGCTGGAGCACACCCCCGAGACCAGCTTCGAGCGGGACGTGGTCTGCGAGGACGAGGACTCCTTCTGCCTCTCCCGGGACAACGTGACGGCGCTCAAGCTGCTGCTGTGCCAGGCGAGCCCCCCCCCCCCCCCCCCCCCCCCCGCCCCCCCCCCCCCCTGAGCCCCGCCGCTAACCCACGCCGCTCTCTTCCAGCTGGAGGAGCGCAAGGCGGAGAACGAGGCGGCCTGCGAGAGCCAGCGGGAGAAGATCCAGCAGCTGTGGCAGCGGCTGCAGGTGCCCCAGGAGGAGCGGGCGCCCCTCGACCCGCACATGGTGGCGTCCAGGAAGAGGAACCTGGACGCGGTGAGCAGAACGAGGGGATGGAGGGGGGGGGGGCGGTCTCTTTTATTCCTGCATCAGCCCCGGTTACAGAGCGGTGGATCTCTGTGTTTCTCCCCCTCAGCTACAAGCAGAAGTGCAGCGTCTGGAGGAGCTCAAGCTGTCAAACATCCGCAGCGTGACGGACGCCATCCGCTCCGAGATCGCCGTCCTCTGGGAGAAGTGCTTCCTCGGGGCCGAGCAGCGGCAGGCCTTCACGCCGTATTTCAGCGGTCTGTGCTTCTGGATCCACGTGTCCGAGCGGGCTTAAACAGGAATTCCCTTCGGCTGACTGTGCACTCTGGCCCTTTCAGAGGATTTCACCGAGGAGCTGCTGGCCCTGCACGACGCGGAGATCCAGCGCCTCAGGCAGCACTACCAGGACCACCAGGAGCTGTTCGATGGCGTCCAGAGATGGGAGGACAACTGGAGGCTCTTCCTGGAGCTGGAGGTGAGGGAGCCAAGCCTCAGAATCAGAAATACTTTAATAATCCCAGAGGGAAATTATTTTTGTTACCAACTCCAGATATACAACAGCATATACATACCGTATATATATATATTTACAACATTCCACACAAATTATAGATAAATATATACATATGTAACTATATGTATATAAGCAGATCTAAAATAAGTGATAATGATAGTGTGAGAAGAATAAATAAATGCCAATAAATTAGTAAGAATTTACAGAGGGGGGGGGGTGTCTGACTCTCTGAGGGAGGCGTAGAGACTGATGGCCCCTGCTGGGCCAGTGTGTCATAGAGGTTTTAGTGAACTCACATGAATCGTAAGAAATGGCCGGAGACCTCTTAGGTTCCACATTCCTGTGATTTCTAAAATGGCAGCTGGGATCTCTGTGACACACTCAGAGAAGAGCTGCCGGTGTTGTCGGGGTGGAAGATTAGCTTTGGAAACATTACAAAATGCAAACTTTGCATGGAAGTTTTGGGAGTTAATGGGAAATATTGGCTAATTTAAAGGAACCCTATCATGTGTATCTATGAGCTACAGCAGACATTAAGGTTCAACAATGTAAAAAATAACTATCATAACTTCATAAATGCTTAATTGTCCCAGTGAACTTCTGCTGAAAACAATTTAACGTGAATTTAACATCACCTCACTGTGCTTTATTTTGTCCCTCCCTGTCCTCTCTAGAGAAAGGCAACGGATCCAGCCAGGTTCACCAACAGAGGAGGAAACCTCCTAAAAGAGGAGAAACAGAGATCCGAGCTGCATAAAAACCTGCCCAAGGTAAAAAGGCTCAACTCTTAATCAGCAGCAGGATTCTGATGGTAACTCCGACTCTGCTGTTTTGTTTTTTTCCTGTCTCGCCAAGTTGGAGAAGAAGCTGAAAGGCCAGATCGAGGCGTGGGAGGGGGAGCAGGGCCGGCAGTTCCTGGTGAACGGCCAGGAGTTCCTGCAGTACGTGGAGGAGCAGTGGGAGCTCCACCGGACCGAGAAGGAGAAGGAGAAGCTGGAGAGGGTGAGCGGGGCTCTGTTGGGACGCGGGTCTGTGTCTGAGGCGATGCCCTGAGCCCCCCCCCCCTCTCCTCCTCCCCCTAAATGTGCCCAGCACCTGAAGAAGAGCAAGCAGACGGAGGAGGACATGCTGTACGGCACCGCCGTCCGGACGCCCACCAAGCGCCGCTTCCTGGGCTCCACCACCCCCAACAAATCCCGCCGGATGGTAAAGCCGCTCCCCGACTGACCGTCCGGCCGGCCGCCGGCGCCCCCAGCCTGACCCCGTCCCTGACCCCGCCTCCCGCCTCTCTGTCTTCCAGTGCAACGCCACCTCCAGCATGTCCAGCGGCGCCTCCAACAGCACCATGCGCTCCCTGTACGGCGGCACCGTCTGCCGCTCGCCGCTGCCCCGCCCGCCACTCTCAGCCAACAAGGTCCGCTTCACTCTGCAGCCGGAGGACGTTTCAACACACACACCTTTAGAAAAAAACAGTTTTTTTCAGACTTCTGCTCTCTCACATCATTCGAAATCATTCTCTAAACTCTAAAGTGTCAAACTCATCCCAGTTTGACACTGGCCACCAGCTTCCTTAAGAACAAACTTAGTGATTTGAGGCCAGAACACATTGCTGATCTGCTTGTAGAAAATGGACCGACCAGAGAGATCTGGGGGATCTGTAGGCAGCAATCAGTAGAGATGCCCCGATCCGGCTTTTTGCTCTTCTGATCCGATCCCGATCCCGGCCTATCAGAGCATGTGTTAAAGTCTAAAGTTATTTATCTACTTACTTAGTAGTCAGACTCATGTTGAACAGGGATTTACTCTGATAACAATTTAACTGGATCTGGAGTCTGGATCTGTGTTTTCTCCTGCCGGCTAATATGCAGTTTTTTGCAAATATCGGCAAAGAGGGAATAAACTGCCTCTGATAGCAAATGAGCCTGAAGTTAAGCAGAAAACTTTTGTTTTACTGCACCAATTTGACTTTTTCTATGTTTTTAAAAGCCTGTACAGTCAAATTACACATCCAGATAGTTTGTATTTCTTTGTGTTCTGGTGTTTTTAATCATCTAAATCTGGTTAAGACGGTGTTTATGCTCCCCCCCCCTCCTTGCCCCCTGACCCCTCCCCCCCCCGGCCCCCCCCCCCCAGACTCCGGCCGCACGGACGCCGGGCGGCAGCAAACCCCCGCACCCGAGGGCTCTCAGCTCCAACAAGGAGAACGAGGCCCAGCCGAAGGGGACCCCCCTGAGCGGTGCGTTGCAGACCCCCCCTTGTCCACCGCGTAACCACAGCATTGCCTCTGTTGCCAGCACATATTCAGAGTTTGTGGTAATTTACACTTTTGTCTCTAATCTTCTTTCCTTTTTCTTTCTTTTTTTTTTGCCTCCTTGCTGCGCCGCAAAACAATTCAGCTTCCGGTTTGAAAACTGTGCAAACGCTAATGATATAAATTTACCTTTTCTTTAGAGGGACTTGGTCAACCCTGAATCTGTTCAGTCAAGGTGTGTTTGGAATGCCGAAGCTTCGTGCTAATCTTATTAATCCGTTCTCCTTTGCATTTATCTAATCAAAACGGAAGGAAAAAAAACTCCCTGCATGTGTTTTTCTTTGATTTTTTATTTAAGCTTTACAGCGTTTTTGGAGGATCCAGGGCTTAAATGTTAACAGGCTTATAGACACACGCCGGCTCAAATAAAATAAACGGGTCCTTTAAAGGAGACTAAATGGCAACATGCTGTCAGGGTTAAGTGTTAGTCTGGGATCGCCGCTTAGGTCCATCACATTGTCGTCACTTTGACTCTCCAGATTTAAAAAAAAAAAAAGTCCAGCTTTTTATTTGGTTTCTGAGTGACTGCGCCTCACTGACTGATATTAACAGCCTCCACCATGCACAGGGACATCCTAAGTAATCCCCCCTTAAGCTCATAGTCTCTGTAAAGGGTTTCTGATGAGCAGCAGGTGAAAGCGAGCTCACGTCCGCTCTTCTTTTCTTTTTTTTCTTCCCCACAGCGAGACTTGTCCAAGGCCTCTAACACCAAGGTCCAGCACGGCGTCCTAAACTCCACCAGCACCAACCTCTGACCTCTCCGCCCGGGTGTTTAATCGTCTCTCCAAAGAGGTTAAGACAAAAAAAAAACGATCACTACATGCGTCCACATTTCTAGATAAATGAAGGCAATCTGTAAAGTGTTGAAATCGTTGATGAAACGAGGACAAAGGCGCTGTCTTTGTTTGTTTTTTCACCGTCGGAGGAAAAATGTTTGTCATATTAACACAAAAAAAGCTCACTTGGCTTTCTAACGTCGGCCGTCATTGAAATGTATGAAATATTTTCTGTATTTAAACTGCACAACGCTTTTAGAGGAACTAAAGAAAGTTCAGCTTTCTGGAGTTATGCAATCGGAGGTTACAGACCAAATGTGTTTTAAATACATTGCACTTTTTAGTAGAAAACGTTCTGAAGCACGAAGTGTAATTTTTACACAAGCTCACACTGTTCTTTTCCAGATTATTATTATGACTATTGCTTTTGTACATATTTCTGTTTTTTGTTTTTAAGAGGAGCTGCCAGTTCCCTGAGGCTGTTATAATGATGCTGTATAATAGTTGAGTTTAATTCGCTATCATGGCAAAATTTTAAAAAAGAAAATCTTTTTCAAAGTATAAAATGTTTTTGAAAACATTGACATGTTTCAGTTTTTCTTTGAGCCTTTTGTCTAAAGCGAATGTTGTGAACAGCAGAAGAAAATGAGTTTATTGTTAAAGATCACTTCGTTACCACAAGGATTTAGTCTAAACTTTATAGTTTTATGGACCAAAACAACCAATATGATACATTCAGCACATTTCTGAATGATTGGGAATCGTATAAATGTCAGTTTTTTAACTGAATGCAGTTTCAGTCAGTGGGTCAAAGCTGTTTACATTCAAGCAGATAATGTCACAATCTTTAAAATCGACTCCCCCATGTGCAAACATAAGATAACACTGTCTTCCTGAGTTATTTAGCTAAAGATTTATTTGACTTTAGAAACTGCTGATCAAAGCCTCTTGGTTCCACTTGTTGGTATTTCTTAAGCCTGGTCTAAGTTTGACTTCAGGCTTTCAGTTTGTTCCAAGTCCTCCTTTTGCCCTGGATTGTTTTTCCATTCCAACATTTTTCAACTTCTTCTTTCTTTGCCATTTTTTAGTCCTTATGGACTTTATCTTTTCACTTATTATCACAAACCATCTTTTTCTTTTAAATTATATTGGCAAAAAGACATGGCTCAAATTGATTCAATTCAGTTATTTTATGTATATAATACCAAGTCACAAATGTCACTTCCAGGTACTTTAAAGGTGTAGTAGTCCAGTACAAGGCAGCAAGAATCCAGACAAAATATTCCATTAAAGACAAAAATATTACATTCAATTCCAGTTCATTATGTTCCAAATTGTTACAATTTGTTCAGAGCTAATTTAAAAAATGGTTTCCAAGTTTAGGGTAAACCAACAGATTGAGAGCAAATCTTTTTTATCTCATCCTCCATCCTGAATTTGCACAAAGTGGCTCTAGAAAGAAAAAACAAAGGGGAGTGTTCTACAGTCTGAAGCTTCAGAAGACTGGAAAGAGGAGCCATGTCACCTGGCTGATGACATAAATGTGAAATGATCATGGGGACACGTTGCTAAGCCTCAATTAGCCAACATATGTGTTTTCCAGTAGTGGTTTGCTCTGAATTAAAGTGTCTTCTGAAGGGGTGGAAAAACAGCCCGTGAAGCCTTCTGGAGCCAGGTCTCCTTGTCTGATTTCTGATTACACAATAAACTGAATTTGGGACTAAATGATATATAAATCCCCGTGCAGTGGATTTTTTATTTTTTTTTTTTTATTTTGCGATGGATTTAAAGAGATATTACAGATAATTAATTAAGTGTTTGAAATAGTAATCGTCATTTACTATATGAAGTGTCAAATTCTTTTTAAAATAACGCTTTAGGCATGTTGATAGGAAGATAACAGAAGCCTTAAGTGTTAAACAAATATCTAGAAATAGTATGTAAAATGTCTGCGTTATTTTTCACATTTTAAAGCGTATGTCTGTTATTTCGATTAATCAAATTTCTGGAATCCGCTGGACTTATTTTGACGGGTCCCCACCGGAAGTAGTTCCGCCTCCCTTAACCAACCGCCGGAAGTGGAAACCTGAAATCCAGCGTGCAGCACAAAAAGAGTCAGAGGGCTCAGGGTTAGAGGTCCAGGCGGCCTGAACTCGAGAAGGAGCTGCAATGAGACACTGACCGAGTTTCGGAATTTATTTATCTCAATTTGTTTCCGCTATTTGAGCCAAAGTGTCCCGCCATGTCGGGAGCATTAGCCAGGCTGCTCTTCTACCCGACGCTAGCTTACAATGTTGTCATGGAGAAGGTGTCCTCCCGCCGGTGGTTCGACCGGGTGGACGAGACGGTCCTCCTGGGAGCGCTGCCGTTCAGGTCCATGACCAAGCAGGTCAGGCTGCCCCCGGGGAACCGGGGAACCGGGATGTGGGCTGGAAGTGTGCAGGAAGCCCATAAACTGTGTGGATAATGGTTGACTTTGAGGAGAAAGTTACATTTTAATTTGGTAGAAGGAAGGAAGTAAACGTATTCCCGTTTCCCCCTAAAATGCTCTGATTAAGCTTTAGATTTAATATTGAAAAATAGAAAGCTAAAGTTCTTGATGTAAAGGTCTTCAGTTAAAATGACAGTTTTGGTTAAAAAAAAATAGCTGTAAACCGGGACAGGCATGACCCCCATTGTGTCTAAAGCTGCCCTCCCTGGTTTTTACCAGTTTTTAGGGTCTCCTTTGACCAGTTCTGCATTGAGATTTCAACTTATTTATATTTTAATGGAACCAGAGTTTCCCTGAGGGAGTAATACCAAGGGATAAATAAAGTTGAATCTAAGATGTAAGCGTGATTGGTTTCCATTTGAACTCAAATCAGCTGTGCCCTAAAGCAGGCTGTAACCAGCCGCTCATCTGAGGCCTAAACATGGCAGGCTGCTGCTTTTGGAGGGGGTCACAGGATGATAACGGCTCTTCTCTTTGTGGCAGCTGGTGGAAACGGAAAACGTTCGAGGAGTTATCACCATGAACGAAAAATACGAGACCAAATACTTCTGCAACTCGGCTGAGGTGAGTCTCTGTGTGTGTGTGTGTGTGTGTGAAAACCCCCAGTCAGTGAATGGAGACAGGGTGAGATAGAGGGAAGCACAGAAAGAGGAGTAGAGGGTCCAGAGGTACCAGTCAGGATAAGAGGTGGGTTTATAAAAGTTTCCTAAAGACAGACAGGGAGCTGCTGTAGCTCCTTCCTCCATCTTGGAACAACAGCTGAAAAGAGTCTGATTGTCCTAACGTGGAGCAGCTCTGCTGGACCAGAACCCGCTGAGGAACGGAGGGACCAGCTGGGACCTCTGAGAGGGTTCAGGGAGACGTGAGCTGGACACTGAACACCTCTGTAGGCATCAGGGACTGGAGTTTGATGCTTTTAAAACTGTTTTGGGGCTTTTAACGCTGTTTTGGGGGCTTTAAAGCTGTTTTGAGGGTGTTTAAAGCTAATTTGGGGCGCTTTTAAAGCTGTTTTTTGGGGCTTTAAAGCTGTTTTGTGGCTTTTATGTTGATGTTTCTGCATTTAGACGCTTTTATCCAAAGTGAAGCCTTTGCAAGAGGGTTCAATTAGATGGGAGCCAGACCCTTAAGCAATTTGTAGGGATCAGGGACTGGAGTTTGATGCGGGCAGCCAGAGGTAACCGGGGGTAACCAGGGAAGCTCGATGAACAGAGGGGTGACGTGAGGCTCCCAACCACAGATCCAGAGCCAGGAACACCTGGAGGAATTGATGGAGGAGAGAGGAAAGGAAGCTCAGGACTATGGGAAAGAGAGAGTCCAGCTAGTAACATCATTAATGGAATGAGGCTGCACTGGGAGGGAGAGAGAGGAAGGAGAGGGGAGCCCGGTGCATCATGGGAAATCCCCCTCAGTCTGGGCCTACAGCAGCATAACTAGGGGAGGACTCACCATAACTCTATCATAGAGGAAAGTCTTAGCCTCTAGGACCCACATGTCTTCCCTTTAGCTGTGTCAGAGTGGTCAGAGATGTGTGCTGTCCGGCTGCAGGAGTGGCGTGCCGCCGGCGTGGAGCAGCTGAGGCTGAGCACGGTGGACCTGACGGGCGTCCCCAGCCTGGAGAACCTGCACCGCGGCGTGGAGTTCGCCCTGCAGCACCGGCAGCAGGGCGCCAGCGTCTACGTGCACTGCAAGGCCGGGCGCTCCCGCAGCGCCACGCTGGCCGCCGCCTACCTCATACGGGTCAGTGCCAGGGCAGGTTCTTGTCCTGTAAAGTGTGAGGTTTTACTGGGCTGTAGTAGGCTGCTCCCATATTTGCAGATCCAGCCTCCAGATCCAGTTTTTTTTTAAAGTCCGATCCCACACGAGCATTAGCATTAGCATTAGCATCTGTAACCCACAGGTCTGTGTCCTAACCATTAAGTTGTTATCAGAGTAAATCCCTGTTCAACATGAGTCTGACAACTAAGTAAGTAGATAAATAACTTTAGACTTTAACACATGCTCTGATAGGCCGGGATTGGGACGTCCCTAATAAAAATGAAATAAAACTAACTAAGCTAATTTTAAAGTTCAGGTAGTAAAGTCAGAGTGAGTTAGTGTTTGTCCTGTATCTCATTCCCCACCTCTACCTCCGTTCTTCAGTCTCTGAGCTAAAGGGCCAATAAAAACCCTTTTTATTGATTATTTCTTTATCATTTATTTCTTTTTCCATCTCTCTTCTAGAAGTCATTTGTTTTCTTGCTATGTGTAATTATCTGCAGTATTTATTAAGGAGTTATCGTAGGTTTTTGGAACCAATTCTAGGAATTACAGAGTATTCTGATGGAATATTTGAACCACCATACCAATATTTAACATAGAAGTCGGTCCTGGAACCAGTTAGACTCTGTTATTGAGGTTGTACTGTACATTTGGCTGCCTCGGTCTGTGGGTCTTGACTTTGTGCGGGCTTGTTTTCAGTTGCACTGCTGGACTCCAGAGCAGGCCTGTCAGAAGCTGGCGTCCGTTCGGCCGCACGTCCTGGTCCGCACGGCTCAGCTGGACATGCTCCGGAAATACTACCAGCAGGTGTGCGGTCAGACGGGCTGAGAGCCCAGCGGGCTGGAGGAACGGACTCACATCCATCAAACATGGCTGCTTTCATAGTGTTTTATTAAAATCTGCAGGTTTTTATCTATTTATGACAAATCAGTGGACAAGGGGTTTTAAGATTTAGAAGTTTGTATTAAAGTGTCATTTTTCTGCTAAACAACCCTTAAATACTTCATGAACAACCATGTTGTTATTTTGTCAGCTAATATCTGTGAAACTAAAATAACCTGCATGCTTTTGGGTGAAGGATATTTCAATTAACATTGAACAAAGATGTTATTGTGTTTATTATTGAAGTTTTATTGCAATTTTAAATATTTCCACAGTGGCCTTATGACAATGAAGTTAAATAAATGTTTGAGACATATATACAGAGTTAATGCTTGTATCTTCTTTGTTTTAAATTTTATTTGTGACTTACTTTGCAACATGCAGAGACTGTGGGATTCTACATTTCTTTGTATACAATCACTGAAACACTCGGGTTTAAGAGGGCGATCTGAGATTTATGAAGCCGCCTCCAGTTTTACAACAATAAGAAAAAATCTTACAAGAAATTATGTCTATAACGATATGAATTATTGATCAAGTATTCTTTTAAAAAAGAGCTTAATTTCCCGTGAACTTTTCAAACACAGCTCTTTCCTGTACTGAAACAGCACTGTAATGGAGAGAAGGAAAAAATCTAACTAAATGGTAAGAAAACCAATAATTATTTATAATGAGAGCATTGCAGTTTAGCCTGTGATTAATACATGTACTTCTTCTCTTGATGCTAGTTTTATTCCTATTTGTTTAAAATAGGACTGGACATGAGGTGCTGTTTGTAAAACTGACTGTGCTGAAAATGTCATCAACTTTTTGTCACATTTAGCTTAAAACAGTGTTTTAAAACGGTGTAAATTTTTCAGACTCCCCTTTTTGCACAATTACAATTTTTTGTCATCTTAGATATATTTTGAATATTTATTTCTAAATGTTAAACGGCGCCTCAACCGGATTCATTTGCCGTCCTTTTGGGGTGTGTTTCCTTTAGTGGTCGCTAGGGGGCGATAGCTCGCTGCTCCAGATGAAGACAAATTTTCTTCTTCTTCTCCATTCGAGCAAACATGGCGGCGTCGTTGGTGAGGCTCGTCCGCGGAGGACTCGGAAGGAGCTTGAACAGTAAGCTGTCTTGAAGCCATTGCTCGTGAAACCGACTGTCAGTGGCTGTAGTTTATTTTATTCTGCGTCCAACCAAACAATTAATGAGAAACGTGAAATTATTTTAACAGTCAAAGTGTTTCCGGTTTGACCTTCGAGCTAGCTAAAGGCTGCCGTTACATGACTGAGCCCAGGATGGCGGCGTGTTGTTATTGTGACAGTAGTGGGGATTAACGGCTGTGTTTTGGGGTATAATTGTGTTACGTTTGACTCTATTATCGTTTGGTGTGGCTCAGAGTTCCCCAGCTCCTCTGGGGGCTTTGGGTTTAAACGCCAGGGGTGTGTTGACAGCCAGTTTTCCATCATTTCTGTTTTCTCCCCTCTCAGTCTCCAGGAGTTCGTGTCTCCTGCAGCAGCAGATCAGAGCCCAGAGCTCCACCACCGAGTCCCGCCGTGAGTTCACTCTAAACCGAAGCTGCCAGCCCTTAGTTCACCCTCTTTTTGGCCAAAGAGCGCTAAATGGAGCATTGAGTCCAGAAGTTATTGTTGGTCAGATTTTAAAATGTGTGCCTAGTTTCAATTGAGTCCCATCTCAAGAACTTGGTTCTTATTTATTCAAGAGACTTTAAAACTAATCAGTTTGAAACACAGAGAGATAACAGGTTAGGATTAGAGCTATTTGTATATAGATCTGATTACAATTCAGTGTTTTTACCCACTGAGATCAAATGGAGAAAAAATTTGGTCAATATGTCAGTAGAACACTTTTAGGATTTCATCCCAATATTTTGGAGAATTAGTTTATTCATTTGTGTAAATAAAGGAAAAAGTCCTGATTTGTTAAATGAAGAAAATATCTAATAAAACTTAATATTTGAATTAATATTGAGGCCTATTCTGTACTGAGGTGTCTCTGTATGTTAAAAAAATATATATATTCCACAAAAAAATACCAAATACTGAAGGATATATGCCACCAACCCCACTGAAAATGCAAGGGGATTTACAGAGCTGTTCTTTAAACCAGAAGAAGAGATGTTAGGTTGGATTCGTTAGCTGTAACTGGCTGTTTGGCGGGCGTGTGGCGTGTGGGCGGGGCTTAACGCTCCCCTGTCCTCTGCTCAGCCACCGTCAGGCCCAAAGATGGCGTGGCTCACAACCAGCTGGCAGCGTTTGGAGAGTACGTGGCTGAGATGATGCCCAAATACGTCCAGCAGGTCCAGGTGAGTCCAGGCCCCAGAGCCCGGGGGAGGCCAGCCTCTGGATCCTGTTCAAAGGGGGAGTTTTTAAAAAATGTCTTTGTAGGTGACGTGTTACAACGAGCTGGAGGTGATGATCCACCCGGACGGGGTCATCCCCGTGCTGACCTTCATGAGGGACCACACCAACGCCCAGTTCAGGAACATGATCGACCTGACCGCCGTGGACATCCCCACCAGGCAGAACCGCTTTGAGGTAGCTCGCACGGACCCCCAAAGGTGTGGGGGACCAATTAAGTCAGGCTGCAGGTTTATTTATAATTCTATTAATAAGGGACGTCCCGATCCCGGCCTATCAGAGCACGTGTTAAAGTCTAAAGTTCTTTATCTACTTCCTTAGTTGTCAGACTCATGTTGAACAGGGATTTACTCTAACAACTTAAATATCGGCAGCCGATCTGATCCAGCTATGGGATCGGGACTAGCCTACTATGAATTTGCAAGTCGCTGCTAGCTAGCAGCTGCTAGCTGCCCAACTTGTGATTGTATTGATTTTTTGGTTTCCCAGGATCCACTTATAAGACCTTTACAGTTTAAGGATACTTGCACACAACCTCCTTTTCCTGTAGTTTTTCAGGCGATTTTAATTCTGACTTTAGACGTGATGTTTTCTAAGTTAGGTGATTTTAGGAAAAAATGTCTGTTAACTTAAAAAGGTTTTAATGGGCTTATGTAGCCAGAAGAAAACTACCTTTAACAGCTTAGATTCCATTTAAAACTGCAGTAAAGGTGAGGAGCTGCGCCATCTAGAGGGGAAATGGAGAACAGCAGCTGCTTCTTAAAGAAAAAAAAATAGTTAAGTGTACTGGGTTTTGGCACCTGGTCAGTTAGCTCCTGGTCAGTTATCTTCTAGTCAGTTAGCTCCTGGTCTTTGACTTTTGGAGCGGTCAAGGCTCCTCCATCAGACTGGAGGTCCCAGACCAGACCTAGAACTTTCTTGGGACCCCCCCCCCCCGGCATTGGAATGCCTCAGGACCCCCCAGAAGGAGCTGGACACATCCAAAGTCTCCCTTAAATCTGACCCGTGCTCAGCTAGTCCTGAAGTATTCCTCAGGCCTAAAACATGAACCGGGGGTCCCTCTGGGCCTGGGCGTTCTGGGGCCCACCCCGGGTGTTTCGGGGCCCCCCCGGGCGTTTTCGGGGGCCGACTCTCCCTCTCCGGCCCTCAGATCGTGTACAACCTGCTGTCGCTGCGCTTCAACTCGCGCATCCGCGTGAAGACCTACACGGACGAGCTGACCCCGGTGGACTCGGCCGTGCCCGTGCACATGGCCGCCAACTGGTACGAGCGGGAGGTGAGTGGCGCCCCGCCGGCGGCCCCGGGGGCTGCCCCCCCCCCCCCGGCCCCCGGAGCCTGATGAGGACTGTGCTGGTCTCCAGGTGTGGGACATGTACGGCGTGTTCTTCGCCAACCACCCGGACCTGAGACGCATCCTCACCGACTACGGCTTTGAGGGTCACCCCTTCAGGAAGGACTTCCCCCTGTCCGGATACGTAGAGGTGGGTTCTGCCCCAACCCAGACCCTAACCCTAACTCTGACCCCAACCCCAACTCCCCAAACCCTAAGTCTAACCCTGACCCAACCTGACCCTGACCCAGACCCTATTCCAAATACTGAACCCAAACCCCAACCCTAACCCCGACTCCAACCCTATCCTCAACCCCAACCCTAACTCTAACCCCAACCCTATTCTCCAACCCTAACCCTAACCCCAAATCTGACCCTTACCCCAACCCTCTGTGGACAGACTCAGAACCTCAGGGTCTCTGAAAGAGGATCCAGTTGTTTTGTTCAGCTTATATCTGAATTGAAGTAGATTTGATTATTTATTCATTTAATATTATACATTTAATTGATTTAATAATAAATTGTTTATGCCCTTTTATGTTAGCTTTAATTGGCTTTCTATTTTTCACTGCAGCGTCAGGTCAGATGTTTCTGTTTCAGTTTTAGTAAGGGGGCTTATTTTATTTGATCAAATAAAGCCCTTTGCGCTGCTGCTTTATGAATAAAGTTTGGTTTAGATTTCCCTTTAACCAGACTTCATACCTCTTCAGTTTGATTCGTGCCAGTCTATTTTCAGGACTTTCTAAAACTTCTGCTGTTCACTGCTTTGTTGTGTTTTCCGTGCCTGGTCTGTCTGGGGGGGTTGGGGGTGGGGGGGGTGCTGACTCGGGGCTCTAACTGATCCGTGCCCCCCCCAGGTGCGCTACGATGACGAGCTGAAGCGCGTGGTGGCCGAGCCCGTGGAGCTGTCGCAGGAGTTCCGGAAGTTCGACCTCAACACGCCCTGGGAGGTTTTCCCCGCCTACCGGGAGCCCAAGGAGGCCCCCCCCAAGCTGGAGGCCGGAGACGCCCCTCCAGAGAAGAAGTGATGCCCCCCCCCCCCACCGCTGGGACTCCCGATCCCAGACCTCCTCCCTGACATATTTCTGTACATAAAAGTGCTAATAAAACAGTCATTAATGTTTTTATTGTGTTCTTTTTGTGTATCTGATGACCAAAAAAACGAGTTTATTCAGTGGGATTGAAACCTCCAGGTTTTCTGAGGACAGATTTGAGCCGGAGAGTCTCTGACAGATGTGCAGACAGCTGCAGGAATCCAGCTGTGGCGGCATTCCATCCTGTGAGTTTGCAGTTTTGAGATAAAATAAGATAAGCTTTATTGATCTCACAGTGGAGAAAATCACTGGTCGGTTTAGTGATTAAAGAAGGTGCAAACAAAGAGGAAAAGGTGCATAAAGTATCAACGATAAAAATAATTATAATGATAATAATAATTTAAAAAAACGGGAGCAATCGCCGGAGTGAGAAATGCTGGCTTGAGAACACTGTCCAAGTTTTGCCAATGGAAAAGAAATCACTTATTCACTGAAAGGAGAACATGATGTGTTTGAGGATATATGGTCATCCTTTTAGGAATTTGTTACAGGCCCTCAGTTTCTTTTGGCACAGATCTGACACTCACTGGCTTTTATCCTGAACAGAACCTTAACAGAATTCTGTGATTTGAATAGAAACTGAGGTAAGAAAATCCCACACTTTCTCCCACCTGTACCATAGTTTGTTTGTACCTTTCATTTACTCACTTCTTGTTAATCTATTTTCTTTTTGTGTGTGTGAGTGTGTGTGTTTTGGCTTTACTTTTTACATTTGTATTGTTACTGTTACTTGAAGAAAAAACAGATAAACTAATTTGGGGGGGAAAAAAACTAAATGTGACCAATCAGGGTAAATATGACAGGAAAGTGAGTTCCAGTTGGACTTTTACAGACTTTTTTTCTTCCATATGACCAAACAAATGGGATGATTCTTCGTGTATGTGACTACAGCCTCCGGCAGGTGTGCTTATGGTCATTATGATCTCGTGTTTCTGGGCAGCTGTGGGTGCAGAATGAAGGCTAATTCAGGATCTGTCCTTCCTCCTCAGACTGACCACGTCTCAGTTTGGGCTGCGCTCTGTATAACAGACTTTCATCAGAATACAGGAGATGGAGACAAAAACTCTCTGAAAGATGAGAGAAACCGACATAAATGTTGTTCACTGGGAGGAGTCGCTCTAAACTGAAAGCATTTATTCATTAAATGAAAGACACTCGTCTTCCCTGGTGCGTTTAAGGGGGCTGGTTGGAGCTTTCGGGTTCATTTACTTCTGACAGAGTGATTTAGAGGGTGAGTTTCTGCCTCCAGCAGGTGGCGCTGTCCTGCTAAATATCTCTGTTCAGAGCAGCTTGTGGTACAGATGCAACAACAGCTTTGGTTTTTTTCCTGTTTTATTTGGTCAAATGTTTTCATCGAAGCATTCATTTTACAGTTAGAAATAAGACGTATTTCAGGTTCCAGACTACAGAAAACACCACCAGGGTCAAAACATCTAACGGCCTTTTGTTCCCCCAAATGGCCGATTTGAACTTATGGGACCACAAATGGTACCTTTTTTAAATTTTTTGTACAAATAATTGACCCGCGTACAGTTTTAATACACAACCTCCCTTCAGAACAATCAAAAAAAGAAGAAAAAAGCACAGAGCAAAACACGTCGAACACATTTCTGAGCACTGTATAGAAACTCCACTGATAGCACAGGTAACGTCTGGGGGGGGCTGCTTTCTCCCCGTTTTCACCCACATGCATCACAGAGGGGCGTTTTCAGGAGCCGCTGCAGCCGGGGGGGTCAGAACGAGGTCCAGGAAGTGGACAGAGGGGGAACTGGGGGGCATTTCTAGCATTAAAGGCCGAGGCCTTCCACCCCTCCCAGAGCAAACCGCCTTCAGATTCTGTCATCTTTGGTGTTTTGTTTAGCTTTTTAGACATTTTGGTCAATTCTTCTTCTTCTATGCGAAATACGTCAAGAAAATGTTAATTTCAGTGTTTCTCTGCTATAAAGTATTCTAGTTTTTATAGTCTCTACAGCAAAAGAAGTTAATTAAGTTAAATTAATTTGAGTTAATTTCTCCTTGTGAGATCAATAAAGTATTCATCAATCAATCAATCAATCAATCAATCAATCAATCAATCAATCAATCAATCAATCAATCAATCAAAAGAGACACATTTTGCTCAATTTAAAGCAGATTTAGGTGTAAATCTGTGCCATCTTCCTGCTTTTGATTCTCCATTTTTATGGTGAAACTGATCAGAAATCTGTTCATTTGGTTGTGAGACGGCTAAAATTATTGATCGATATAGATAATCTACATAGATATAGATAAAGACAGGTCTCTGACAGTGTGGACCTCACAATGGCTCCACAGCTGAAGCTCTTCTCTTTCGTGGCAATCCTTAGAGAGCGACCCCCTCCCATCCAAACCCCCCCCCCGGTCCTGAGGTCCCGAGCTGAGGCTCATTTCTGATGGAGCCCCGTCTCCCACAGCTCCAAATAAAAAATGCAAAGTGAAGCGTGGCGCCTCCACTGGGGGAAGGTTATTCCATGAAAGTCAAGGTTCACGGCAATTTAGAGAGTATCATCTTTCCCCCCCCCCGGCGGTGTGAAATTAAGAGGACATGCATATTACAGCGGCCCGGGAGAGGCAATCCAATCTCCCCCTCAGCGGTGGCCGCTCGGAGACGCCAATTAAACGCTGCTACAATTAGAAATCAAATTACACCCAGACCCCCGGGGGCGGGGGGGGGGGGCAGGTGGTCAAGAAACTCCACCAGAAACCAACCCATTTTTGGACACGAAACACACAGTTCATATACAGTAGTTTCACATGCCTCTAAAGACAAAGGGTCTTTTTTACTCACAAGCAAGTCTTGGACGAAGATAACGACAGCTCTTAAAGGAATGTTCCACGGAAAAATGACGTTTCTGAGATTATCTACATGCACCCTGATGTCAAGTCAAGCTCCACTAAATGTCTACATCAATAGTCCGTCACTACTTCCTACTCCAGCCTAAAGGGAGGGGGAATGGTCAGTTTATGAACGTTTCCTCTGGCTGTGAGGACCAGGGGTGTTTGCATCTGGATGCTTTTCCTACAGGGATCTGGAGCGTGTGGCGGGGTTTGCATGGTATGGTTCTCCTCTTTTCTTGAGGTGGAGCTGTGGTCTGACTCTCTGTGAGGATTCGCTGTCCATCAGGTCTGCTACATCTTCTCCTTCTGCTCGCTCAGAGTGAAACCTGCTGCTGTGCAGGGCTTCGTACGGGTTTTTTTGTGCTTTTTTGTGGGATTTAGGGCCAGTGATCTGTCATTTTATGATTAAAGATAGTTTATTTCCCAGCACTTGGAGCTTTATGATGCAGGGACAACCCAATTCCCCCTCACAACAAGATGCCAAGGGGCTCTAAGATTTGGAAATTTAAACTGTGATGCAGCACTTAATTTTAAACCGAAAACCGATAATAACACAAACAAAAAAAAGGCCTTTACCCTAATATTTTTCATGCAAATTATGTAAAAAATGACAATACTCTAATGTAGTTTTAAGATTTAAATGAACACTTTAAGGAATATATTTGAATGTTTGTATTCTGGGAGGAATTTAAAGTAAAGTGTGCATGATTGTGCTATTAACAGTCTACAATACTGTGCAAACATCCCCATTCAGCCCAAACTTCTTTATCGTTTGCTTTCAGGCAGCCAGATGTTATCGTTATCTTTTCATAAGGAGTCATCTTCAGCAAAAGCTCTGCAGGCCTCCTCAGGGTCAAAGGTTTGAAGTCCAGTTCTTGTTCCTGAGCATTTTTGTTTTCCGTTTTAAGAAACTTAATTTGGACCTGCGTGTCATTCAGACATGCAGAGGAACACAGCTCAAGGGATGAGCCAGAGTTGTGTCTCAAAAAGTGTCCGTCTAAATGGGATCTTTAGGCTCTTCGTTACCAGCAGCCTTTCACAAAGACAGATTTGTTCTTGTTTTTATTGGTGATGTGGGAAAAATAGCTAAGAAGACACAGACAGGAAACAGGATTTCTGAGGATTCCATGAAGGAAGGAAACAGGAGGAAAGGCTGAGCTCTGCCAGAGGAACCACAACTGAACACCAGGTCTGATGGAGGGATGATCTTCATTCTGAGTTACAAAACAAGGCTTGAATTGACCAAAAATACAACGAAAAAGCTAAAATACAACTAAAAAGAACAGAAAAAAGCTCAAGAAAAAGCTAAAACTGACCAAAGATACAATAAAAAATCCAAAACAACCCTAAAGATGACCAAAAATACAATAAAAAAAGCAAAAACAAAGCAAAAAATGACCAAAAATACAACAAAAAAGATAAAATAGAGCTAAAATGACCAAAATAGAGCAAAGACAGAGCTAAAATGATAAAAAATAAAGGTATCCTGTCAGTTGTCTCCCAGCAGCTGAACCTCCCAGAGCTCCCACTGTGGGTCAGAAACTGGATGAAAGCAGGAACCAGAAGTGGAGCAGCTCTGATGGAGGGATGGATCCTCCAGAGCCAGAGCTCCACATGATGAAGAAGAGTGGGATCATCTGACAGAGAACGGAGCCAAAGGCAGCTAAACATCCAGAGAAGAGCTCTGGGACATCCTTCAGGAAGCCGGAGAGCTTTTCCTGGAGGCTCCTACTGGAGAGGGTCCGGAGTGGAGGGGAAAGGTGCAAATTTTGTCTTACATTTCAATTGATTTTCACACATGATTTGTTAAATCTGACCCCTGTCCTGGCGTTATGTGAGGAACTGAGGAGCATTTGCACAGTACTGTAGTTTTAATCACCTAATGCTGCATCATGGAGACCAGTTCTGCACACATGAAGCTCCTTAAAACATTTCCAGGCTGAAGATTTGTACTAGTATTTAAGAGCCATTTGTCCCTGTATGAGGACATGGAGGGGGTGTACAGCCATGGTTCTCCTAAACTGATGTTCTAACTAGAGTAAACAAGGGCCTTAGTGAATATTGACTGAATTTTCATCGTCATAGGGAACTATTCACATTTCAGGGTGAGTAAGTCTTGTCCTGGAGAGCTATTGGCAGAAAAGTGGACAGAGCTGTTCTCTAATGTGTTGCACTCAGTCTGGATTCCTGGAGGTTTTGGGTTGGAGCTGGAATGAAGAGGTAAGAGCCAAAGAAGCAACATTCATCCCCGGGAACTCAGAGACCGCTCAGAGACTACCAAGAGCCCTCGGCGACACGAATCCCTCCCTCCTCTCTGTCCGTGGCCCCCCCGCTGAGGTTAGGGCCGCTGGTCGGAGACCATGTCGGGGTAAACCAGGAAGCCCGTGAAGGTGATGTACTTGGCGTGGTTGCTGTAGGCGCCGAAGCCGTCGCGCTGGTGCGAGTAGAGCCAGACGGTGTCCCCGGGCCGCAGCGCCAGCATCAGGCTCTGGCTCTGCAGCGCCTTCTCGCCCTGGCTGTCGTCGTAGATCATGGCCTGCACCTCCAGGTGGTTCTTCATCAGCTTGACCGACAGCGTCTTCTGGGGCAGCTTGCCCACGTTGAAGGAGAAGTAGTAGGCCCCGGGCACGCGGCAGCTGAACACGCCCCCCGTCACGTTGAAGTCCTCCCCGATGTTGACGAAAGCCGTGTCGAAGCTCACCGGCTGGTGCTGGGGCAGTCCGGCCTGGTTGACCCCCAGGATGCTCTGGGTGCGCCCCACCGAGAAGGCCGACCTCTGGTCCTCCTCCTCCTCCTCCTCGTCCTCCTCCTCCTCCTGGCCGGCCATGGCCCCGGGCTTGCTCAGCTCCTGGGCGTTTGGGGGGCGGGTGGCGTCGCGCTGGGGCTGCTGGGGGCTGTAGGCCGGGTGCTGCTGGGGGTGGCGGTGGGTCTGGTAGCCGTAGGTGTCCGGGTAGACCAGGTAGCCGTTGAAGGTGGTGTAGTGGCCCGTGTTGCTGTAGAGGGCGTAGCGCGGATCCCCGTGGAGCCGCAGCCACACGCTGTCGCCGAAGTCCAGCTGCAGCATCACGCTCTGGCTCTGCACCTGAGGACACCAGCGCAGTTTAGTAGCACGCCCTCAGGGCAGGAGGCCGGATGGCTCACATCACAAACCTCCCACAGCTCTATATCCCTTCCGTTGTCTGACCCGTTCTGTGAGAACCTCTGTAAGCTCAGACATGATAACCCTTTTGGTATAGACAGGAAATAAGTCCTGAGGCTGAGAGACTAGCAAAGAGCCCTATAGCAAGCATGTTGTGGTCATGGGGGACTAAGAACACATACTTCTAATTCTTAGTGCATAGGCAGAGCCTAAGTTGATGGTTCGTTATAGTCTAGAGTAACTGGGCTTTGAGCAGCCGGGCTACGAAAGGCCTAAACCCAGGTCCAGACCCAGTGCACCATGTCTATAAAAGGCTCAGGTCCAGACCCAGGCCCAGGTCCAGACCCAATGGACCCTGTCAGACCCAAGCCCAGGTCCATACCCAGAGCACCCTGTCTGTAAAAGGCCCAGGTCCAGACCCAGGCCCAGGTCCAGAACCGGGTCCACTCCAGACCCAGTGCACCCTGTCTGTAAAAGGTCCAGGTCCAGTGCAACCGGGGTCTTGGGGGCCCAGGTCCAGAGCGTCTAGGCCATAGAGGGCCCAGGCCCATCTTTGTCTCCTCCTCAGCCCCATTGTTAACTCTTTGGTATCTAACTTACTTATGTTTTTATGCAAAGTTTTATGCAATAACATCTTTTGTGTCCTTTCCTGTTTTTTGTCCTACCAAGATGGGTCTGGACACCTGTCACACACTCTATCCAGCACCACTTTGGTGCATACCCGTCCAAACTGTGACCTCGGAGGCTTCTGCCTTTGAGGTGCAAGATGTTCTCCTGCTTCTACCCCCTGATTTAGACCAATGAGTCTTTTGAAAAGGTCCAGCTAATCCGGATTGGGTACGGTGAGGCGGGTAGACCTCTACAGCCTGCAGGACACTCGGGTCTAAAGCCTCTCTTTTGTTTCTGATGATTCAGAGACCGGAGCGACGGCAGAAGGCTAACAGCTTATTCAGCGCCTCACACACCGTCTCCACCGATTCGTCATCTTCATTCTCCAAAACAAGCTCCATCTCTAGAACAGCAAAGTGGCCAGAAGGAGTGAATGCGAACAGAAAACAACCTGATAATCGTGACTGGAGAGAGACCGGCTCAGTTTGGCCCCTTCGAATAACCTGGAAGCGGTGCTAATTCGTCCTCCATTTAGACGCCAAGCACCCCCCCAACTGCATTTCAGTTTGGTTTAGATTCATTCTACGCCTCTGCTTTTACTCTTTCTTGTTCTTTAATCCTGTTTTGGTCCAATTTCACGTTTGGATACAGCTGTTTTTGTTTTTTTAAATGAGTGTGGTGGCTACTACTGTTCCCTCACAGTTAGAAGGGTACTGGTTCAAGTCCCAGGGGGGACCAGGGGCCTTCCTGTGCCCGTGTCTCCCTCTGGCTACTCGGGATACCTCCCACCATCCAAAAACATGCACGTTAGGTGGTTGCACTCTGTAACTGACCAAGGAGTTCCCCACCTCTTGCCCATGGGGATAGGCTCCGTACTAATAATCCATGGGGTGTAGACTATAGGAGGATGGATTTCTTTAAACTAATTAATTTTGCCCTATGAATACTGGGATAGGCTCCAGTCCCCCCACAACCCCATTTGGGAAATAAGCGGCTCAGAAAATGGCTTTTTGAGGCATTTAGAGTTGCTGCATAGACCAACTGCTCTGTGTTGTCGTGAGGCATGAGGCTGGAAGTGGAACAGACGGGGAAAAGCTCCTCTTTGCTTTGCTTTGCTTTGCTTTGCCAGCAGAAAATATTCTGACGGGTGGACGTGCGCCCCAGACGGAGAGGGGCTGCGGAAAAACCGGCTGAGTTTTCAACATTTTCCGCTTTCCAGGGTCTTTTTCCGGGCTACAGATTGACACGAGCGTGTCCATTTCTTGTTCCCCTGACAAAAACAGGCCTCTGGTTTCTCAGAACCTGTCAGCTCTGTAGCACAGATCGCTGCTTCCAGCCTCAGAGGCTCCTGCCAGGGACATGAATCTTTAGAGATAGATTTTTTTTAGAATAATGCCCTGGCTACTGTAGTTATTGGAAAACATTATTAAGGGAATCTTGCATCTGTTCAGGGCTATTTTCAGACAGGGATTAATGCCTCTGTGGAAGCCTGAAGGGTGTGGGTGGTGCTGGATGAAGATAAATCCGAATGCGTTGTTCGTGGTAATTAAGAGACACCCAGTGCAAAAGGGTTGCTCAGATCTACTTGATGATGCTGGAATAAGCTGTTAAGGTCATTTGTGGACATCATGAGTCATGCAGAATAGCATCGGTTTACTTTGGAAACCGGCAGTAATCCCAAGAGTTTAAGCCAAGATAACTTCTTGGATCTAAGAAGAAGTCCATCTATCCTTCCATTATGGTGTCCCCTTATCCCCTAATGGGGTCGGGGGGGACTGGAGCCTATCCCAGTAGCCAATGGGGAGAGGTGGGGTCACCCTGGATGGTCCCCAGTCCATCACAGGGACACACAGAGACACACAAGGACCCACAACCACACACACTCACACTAAGGGCAGTTTGGAGTCCAACAACCTAACATGCAGGTTTTTGGAGGGTGGGAGGAAGCCGGAGAACCCGGAGAGAACCCACAGACACAGGAGAACATGCAGACTCCACCCAGAAAGGTCCTGGTTCCCCCGGGACTCCGACCCAGAACCCTCTGGTCCTGGT